GAGAAGGACGGATGGATGAAGGATGGAGAAGGATGGACGGAGAAGGACGGATGGAGAAGGACAGAGGACGGATGGAGAAGGACGGACGGAGAAGGACGGACGATGAAGGATGGAGAAGGACAGACGGAGAAGGACAGAGAAGGACGGACGGAGAAGGACAAAGAAGGATGGATGGAGAAGGACGGACAGAGAAGGACGGATGGATGAAGGATGGAGAAGGATGGACGGAGAAGGACGGATGGAGAAGGACAGAGGACGGATGGAGAAGGACGGACGGAGAAGGACGGACGATGAAGGATGGAGAAGGACAGACGGAGAAGGACAGATGGAGAAGAACAGATGGAGAAGGACGGAGAAGGACAGAGAAGGATGGATGGAGAAGGACGGACAGAGAAGGACGGATGGATGAAGGATGGAGAAGGATGGAGAAGGACGGACGGAGAAGGACAGATGGAGAAGGACGGATGGATGAAGGATGGAGAAGGATGGACGGAGAAGGACGGATGGAGAAGGACAGAGGACGGATGGAGAAGGACGGACGGAGAAGGACGGACGATGAAGGATGGAGAAGGACAGACGGAGAAGGACAGAGAAGGACGGACGGAGAAGGACAAAGAAGGATGGATGGAGAAGGACGGACAGAGAAGGACAGATGGATGAAGGATGGAGAAAGATGGATGGAGAAGGAAAGAGAAGGATGGATGGAGAAGGATGGAGAAGGATGGAGAAGGATGGATGGACGGAGATGGACGGACGGAGAAGGATGGACGGGGACGGATGGAGGGGGATGGGGATGGATGGAGGGGGACGGGGACGGATGGAGGGATGGGACAGACAGACATGGACAGAGACACGGGGACAGACAGAGGCACCCCAGGAGATGCCACTTACCCCCGCACCCCCCTCGTAGGCGCCTTCCTGGTGCACGTGGCCAGCTCCTGCCCGCTGGCGGCCAACGGCTCCGTGCTGGATTTTGACTTCGCCCTCATCTTCAACAAGAACCCGCTGGTCTGCTACGACCCCGCCGCCCAGCGCTTCGTCCCCTGCGACTGGGGGCTGCTCCACCCCCACGCCACCCGCCTCGCCGCCCTCCTCAACAACGGCACCGCCTGGGTGGAGCGCGTCGAAGCCCGGCGCCACGCTTGCCAACACCTGGCCGCCCGCTTCTGGGCCTCCGCGGCGCTGCGGCGGAGTAAGGCCTGCAGAGCACGGGGGCTTTGCGCGGGGGCGTGGGGTAGGGCGTCGTACGGGGCGTTGCATTGCGCGGGGACGTTGCAGAGCACGTTGCACGAGGATGTTGCATGGGGACAGCGGCTGGGGGACATCACCCGGGATGGGGAGGGGGCTCACCCCGGCACTGACCGTCCCCCCTCCCTGCTCCAGCGCCACCCCAAGTCCGCATCATCCCCTCCAAGACGGACAACCCCCGGGCGTCTGTCCGCCTCACCTGCCACGTCTGGGGCTTCTACCCGGCCGAGGTGACCGTCATCTGGCTGCGCAACGGGGACATCGTGGGCCCCGGTGACCACCCCCCCATCTCCGCCATCCCCAATGGTGACTGGACCTACCAGACGCAGGTGACCCTGCTGGTGGCCCCGGTGGCCGGGGACACCTTCACGTGCTCGGTGCAACACGCCAGCCTGGACCAGCCCCTCCTGGAGGACTGGAGTGAGTCGGAGCGGGGGAGGACGCCTACCCGGACGCCTGGGTCCTTGCCACGTCGCTGCTGACTCCCAGTGTCCCCGCAGGTCCCGGCTTGTCCCCGGGCTTGACGTTGAAGGTGGCTGCGGCCACCGTGGTGATGGCGTCGGGGCTCGGCTTCTTCATCGCCGGTGTCTACCGCTACTGGGCCATGCCACCGGCACCAGGTGAGTGGTTGAGGAGGGACAGGGACAGGGACAGTGGCCTGGGGGGAACAGGGACGGTGGCCTGGGGTGACACGGACCCTCCTCACCCCCTCTACTCACTCTTGCAGGTTACACTCCCCTCCCCGGAGACAACTACCCTGCAGGTAATGGCACATCCAGCCTGTCCCCATCCCCTGTCCCCAAGGGCCACGTCACCCCTTCTGCCACCCCATGTCCCCCCCCCAGGCAGCATCTGAGGGACCCCCAGGACGGTGACCTCCCGGCCCCGACGGTCCCCCCTGCCTCCCTGGAACCCCGGAGCTGACGCCGCGCTGCCGACAATAAAGATGTTCCACGGCGACGATGTGGTTTCGTGCGGGGGCTCTTGCGTCGTTACGCCAAGGGGAAGGGCCGCGGGGGGACACGCACGTGACACGGCCTGGCACGACGCGTGTGCCGGGCACGAGAGATGCCGGGCACGAGAGATGCCGGGCGCAAGCCAAGCCGGGCACCGGAGATGCCGGGCAGGAGCAATGCCGAGCAACGTCGCGCACTGGGCACAAGCGATGCCAGTTGTGAGCAAGGCCGGGCACGAGGGACATCGGGGCACGAGCGACGCGGTGTGAGCAATGGCGGGCACGAGGGACACCGGGCACAAGCGATCCCGGGTATGAAGGACACCGGGCACAGGCAGTGCCGGGCACAAGGGACAGCGGGCACCAGGGCCACTGGGCACGAGCGATGGTGGGCACCAGGGCCACCGGGCAGAGGGGAGAGCGGGCGCGAGGGACACCTCCCACAGGCCCCGGGGGTGCCCACGCGCCCCAGGATTATTTTAGCCTTTTCCCAGCTTTGTCCCCCCTAAAGCCCCAGGCTGGCAGAGCCGGGCTGGGGTGGGGAGAGCCCAGCGTGGGGTGCGGGGCGCCTGGGTGCCCCCCTGGGGTGGGCAGGAGGCCGGGGTGCTGGGGTGCCCCGGGGGAAGGGGACAAGAGCGGGGCCGGGGCTGGGGCTTGGGGGGCCCCGGGGTGACCCCGGGCTGGGGGGACGCT